CTCTTTGAGAACAGGGTAGATTCCCTGCAGCCTAGGATGCCGGGGCCCCAGGGGCAGGAGGGGACCTGGTGGCTGCCCCCTGTCCGCAGCCCTCTTGTCTCCACAGCAGGCAGCTGGCTGTACAAGCCACTGATGGGAGCCCTTGGGATAAATGTCAACCCTGACAAGCAAAGGAAAGATCGGCCCCACAGGAGGCACCAGCTTTGTCTGCTGGGGGCTCCTGTTGGTTGGTTTCATAAAAAATCCTGCCAGGAAAGAGTGGCAGACTTTTCTCCAGAGTTTCACGTTCTGAAGTATTCTTGAGGGCAGAATGTGGGTATGGGGTTTCCAGAGGGGCCCAGAACAGTCTCATTCCCCACCTTGCATCCCTTTTCACAATTGGTGCCCCACAGGGCTGTCTTGCCAGGCAGCATCTCATGTAGATGGCTGGTGTTCCTGGCTAAACTCCAGCTCTCTCTATAAATAAGGGCCCCATGGCGCTTCAAATAGAGGTGGATAAGGCTTTTCAGCCAGGCTAGAACCTCAGCTTTACTGTTTGTTGGCTTTCTGTGACTATGCATGGTCAAGGCTGGCCAGATATTTACCATCTTTGACCAACACAAATACATTGAGAGCTTCAAAATCAGGCATAAAGTTTCAGAGAGGCGCTGGCCCAGTGGTGTAGTGGTTAAGTTCACACGCTCCACTTCAGCAGCCTGGAGTTCACAGGTTCGGACCCCAGGCATGGACATAGCACTGCCCGTCAAGCCACACTGTGGCGGCCTCCCACATAAAATAGAGGAAGATTGGCGTAGACGTTAGCTCAGAGACAATCTTCCTCAAGCAAAAACAGATGTTAGCTCAGGGCCAATCTTCCTCAAAAAAAGATTTTTTTCAGAGAGAGCTAAGTTAGACTGTGTTGATAACTATACAAACATTTACCATTTCCTTACTGGGGTCATTAAAGGCATCCTCAAACGTTTGACATTGTTGTCTGAAATATTTTTAGCTTTGATTTTTTTTCAGCCAGCATCAAAAGAGAGACTCTAAAGTAGTTACCGTGTGTCTATGTTCAAGTCTACAACGTTTATTTTTTCTGGAAATACTCAAGTGAATTCTGATTAGAATCATTCCTAGAAAACCTTTACCCTGGTTCTAGACTATCAGAGCAGAATAAAAAGTAAAGTGAAAGGTCCTCCCGCTCAGAAACTCTGCAGATATTGGCTGGATATTTAGTAAGAAAAGGACTCATTCTCTGCTGATCTTGCATCTCCAAGTTGTTTAGGTAGGAGAACACCTGCGAGTATGTCCCTCTCAGTAAGACACCACATGGACATTCCCATTTGTTTATTTATTGTCTGTAGCTGCTTTCATGCTACAATGACAGAGCTGAGTAATTGTGACAGAGACTGTATGGCCTGCAAAGCCTAAAATATTTACTGTCTGGCACATTGCAGTAAAAGTCTGCCAACCCATCTACTAGTTCATCCCGTTCACTTCACTGATGAGCAATCTAATCTAAAGCCTGGTTGAAAAGCAAAGTGACTTTGCAGCATTTTGCATAGTGTCCCCTTTATCACACTTACTCTTGTCTATGCCTGTCCCTTCTACTGGAAGGGATACAATCTTTTTATTTCCCACACTGCTACTTATTTAAATGCTTAATAATAAAAGTTTGTTGAATTGCATTGATTCGCCCAGGGTAACAGGGATATTTAGCAGTAGAGCCTGGGTTAAAACCCAGAAAAATACAGATTCATGAACCAGTGGTAAGGACCACCAACTAGCTACATAACTAGCTGAGTTAATTATCCTCTCTGAGCCTCAGTTTCCTCATCTGCAAAATGGGGATCATAATATACCCATGTAGGGTTTTTATGAGAAATTGTTGAGATAATGTACATATGGAATAGGCCCTCCGTAAGTATGGATTCCCTCCCCCACTCCTTTCTCTCTCTAAACTGGAGTCCCTGAACTGTTAGGGTTCCCTGAGAAAACTAAACCAAATACTCACAGACTTTCTGCTAGGGATGAGGCCCTGGGCTCAGCCCTTTGAGAGATGTAAAGATCGTTTCCCCATTTAGTGGCAATGATGAGCCTGATGTTGTGGCCACCCCCTCCACACTTCACCCCAGGCTGGCAACACAGGAAGGGGGAGGCCCAGGTGTCTTTCCTGTTCCTGTTTCTCTCCAGAAAGGAGCTGGCTCACACTGCCCTCCACTTCTCTTCCAGCTGCTTAGACCCTTCGAGCAGCTATAGATCCGACCTCGCCTCCCTAGTCTTCTTCCTGGGCTCCCTCCCAGTCTGTCTGGCCTTACCCTGCTATGCTCTGATGTCCTCATCTTTGGGGTGGGGCTGATTGAATAAGCCCAGTTTCTCTGGCCCCCTAACTTCCCGAGGTGATGCTCAAAGAAGAGATCGATTAGTCAGGGAGAGGAGTGAACCTAAGTTAGTATGAGTGAGTGAGAGAGCGAGGCATGTTCATTTTTGTAGTTAAAGTAAAATAGTTTACAGGGGTGAGTATGCACTCTTGCATAAAAACAAAAACAGATACCCCAACACAGTTTACTAGATCAAAGATTGGATAATCAGAGAATTACTTCATGAATTCAAAACAGAATGGCTTGCGCTCAGTCTGTCAGTGAAGTGCAGTATAATTTATCTCCCTCTAACTAGACCACAGGTCTTGGCCAGCCAAACATAAACATAAACATAAAGATATAAAGGCAGTTTCTCTCTCTCTGGCTATAAGAAATGTGAGGTGAAACTCCAAACCCAGAAGTTTTTAAAAACCATTTCTAAATAATTATAGTTCTTAAGTTATCTGGACTAATTTTTAGAAGGCACTTGTTAGTGCTGTAGAGTTCTAACTATAAGTTGTTTTTGAGGAAATTGTCTCTGAGCTAACATCTGTGCCAATCTTCCTCTATTTTTGTGTATGGTACACTGCCACAGTGTGGCTTGATGAGTGGTGTGTAGGTCCATAGGTCCACACTCGGGATCTGAACCTGTGAACCCCAGGCCGCTGAAGCAGAGCAGGCAAACTTAACCACTATGCCACTGGGCCAGCCCCCTGGTTCTTTTTAAATAATGCTGTTAATTAAAATTCATATGGGACCTGTTTCAAAAAATAGGTAAGAATAGGGTTGTAATCAGCACCACTCTCCCTGATTGGCAAAGAGCTGCCACTAAAGTCCTTGAAGAGTCTCTCAAGGAGGTTACAAATTCTCTTTTGAAATCATGATTACAATTCCCTTGCTTGGAAAGTTTTGCTTTGATGGTCTAGCTCTGGCAAAATAGAAAATTCAGAATTTGTATAGCTTAAACAAAAACAGAATTACTACAAGGAACTGGGAGGCAAATCAGAGGCATTTTGAAAACTGCTGGCCAAGGCAGAGGAGCCTACCAGGCTTCCTGGCCACCCTCAGCAAGGCTTGCCCTGAGAGCTTCATTAGGAGGGAGGCCCCTGGTTCCTCATATTAGACATGTAATGCTCTGAGCATCCCTTTCTTTTTTAAGCCTCTGGCTTCATGGAGCAGTTGTCTGGTGGGAAACAGTGCTGAATGGAGAGTTAGGGTACTGGGTTCCCATTCCAGTTCCGATATCTGCTGGCTGTATGACCTTGAGCAGGACATTTCTTCTTTTGGGGCCATCTGCAAATAAGGCAACTAGAACTCAGTTGACCAGATCAGACAAATGACCACTGTGCAGGCCCTGCCAGAACTGAACTCACTTGGACAACAAAGATTAGAGCTAGACAGGACCTTTTGGTGATTAGTTGGACTCTGTCATTTCCCCCAAAGAAGCGAAGGGACCCATCTAAGGTCACACAGTTAGTTAGAGGCAGAATTGGATTAGAACCCAGGTTTCTGGCCTCTCAGTTCCGTGCTCTAGCCAGAACACCACATTATCTTTAAAATCCTAAAGGAAGAACATTTCATTTCTCTTGCATCATATATGTCCCAGACATGTTGCTGAGTTCGGTCTCCATCCTGCTCACTCATCAAAACTGCTCTAGATTAAGTGGCTAAGTCCTCCCGCTCTTTGCACGCAAAATTCTTCCTGCACTGGTAGCTTCTCTGAGACCCAAAACAGGGAGGCCAGGAGCCAACATTTGCCCAAACTCACCCTCTAGGAGCATGAAAGAAATGGGTCTGTGTCCCCCAGGGTACCCTCACTTTGGAGTCTCAAGGAACAAAAAACCTTGAGATGAATTTTCAGAGATCACTTCCCAAATTTAATCTCATCTTCTAGGTTACTGAATCATGCAATAAATTTAGCAGGAAGGTCCCTCACAGGGGCAGAGAAATTCTTGGAAAGGAACTTTGGGGCCAGGAGAAAGCCTCAGGGTTGGAGCTCCTGATATCCGGTCTCCACTTGGCACAGAGAGAGGGCTCTGCCCCAGGGCTGGCTTGTCAGTGCATGAGTGGAGCTCCCATTTGCTCCAATTTTTTGAAAACAAAACAAAACAAAAAAACACTCCCCTTTGTCAGATACCATCCAAGCTACCAGCCCCTCCAAGTCTGGAATGTGAACCAACAGGATTAAATGAAAGTGAGGGTGCTAGATAAACCCTAAACACCATGCACATGGAAGAGATTATCATTTTTCCCTGCCTTATATCTCCTTGGACATTCTCCAAACCCCAGCTCAAACATCATTTCCAAAGACCCACTCAGACCAACCCGGGTTCAAATCCTGGCTCCACCGCCTATTTGCTGTGGGACTTTGAACAAGTGGTTTAACTTCATTAGGTCTCAGTTTCTTTCCCTTTCGATGGGGGATCATCATAATAATCATTTTATAGGGTAACTGGGGGTTGAACAAAGGGCAGTCTTGCAAAGGTCCCAGCATAGTGCCTGGCAGGGAATAGGATTCTGTAAATGTTGAATGAACAGCAAGGGAATCAGAGAACCCATCTCTTGAGTTCTGACCCAGCACTTTTCACTCTTCAGTCCCTGGCTTCCCTCTACCCTTTTGACCCAAAGAGGCTAAAGAAGCCTGAGCCAGTCTGTCCTTACCTTGCTGAGGTCCCCTAGGGCCATGACCTTGGCCACTGGCCTCCTGCTGAGCTGCTCCTTCACCCAGACCTCAAGCTGCTTGTTCCACTTCATGGTGAACACATAGAAGGCATAGGCCAGCAGCAACAGCAGGCTCTCCCACCAAGCAATGAAGCTATCCAGGAAGAAGAGGATGAGCATTATCAGGTCAAGGATGTAGAAGGAGACATCACGGAACAAGGGCCACCAGGTGAGGTTGAGGATCTCCCGGGAGAAGAGGGCACAGGTGCCTATGACAAACAGGATGTTGAACACAGCAGAGCCCACGATGGTGCCGATGCCCACGTTGCTGTGGGAGATGAAGACACCAATTAGGGAAGTGAAGAGCTCGGGGGCAGAGCCTCCAGCAGCCATGAATGTGGCACCTGCCACATCCTCAGAGATCTGCAGCTTGTCTGTGATGATGCCCAGGGCTGGGACAAAGTACTCGTCGCACACGATGGCCAAGGCCACAAACACATACATCATGCCAAAGATGTGCAGGACCACCCAGCCCTGCCGCCGCTCCTCCACACTGAACAGGTCTGGGGGGTACTCTCCCTTGGGGGGAAGGTCTGACCAGCCAGGGGGCAATGCTGAGGAACTGGGACTGGGCACCTCTGGGATCACAGCTGTTGTCAGGCTGGGGGAGGGGACAGTGGGCACCGGTGGGGCTGGCTCCACAGCCACACAGTCACGGACCTGGGTGGTCGGATTTGCCCTGACCCTGGTGGATGCTGAGGTGCTGGATGCTGTGGAAGTTTTCTTAGCCAGCCCCCAGAAGGTGGATGAGGATATTCTGATGGGTGGTTTACTGGTTCTGGACGAGAGATTCCTAACAATCCAGGCAGTAGTAGAGGCTTTGATTTCTGCTGGGCTACTGCCTGTCATGGCGCTTATCATCCCCTCAGAGGTGGCTGCAGTGTGCTCCAGGACTGTTCCCTGTGGAATTGCCAGGTTGTTTTTTCCCAGTAACTCCTGGGGGCTGGTTGAGCTATTAATGTCCATTCTTCTGGGGGTATTCAGGGTGTTCTTTTCCACCACACTCCTTGGAGAAGTCAAGATGTTTGTCTCTACATCATTTATCAGGAAAGTTGGGGTGTTATCAATTATTCCCTTGAGAGTTGTTGGGGTGGTTTCCTCCACTATTCTCTTAAGGGCGTTGGTCTCTAGTATTTTGTTGGTTGCCATAGTTTCACTGTCTTTTACTGTTGTTCTGAAGGTGATCCCATGGCTCCTTATCACTGTCTTGAGTGTGGGTGGGGCATAATTGCCTACTACTCTACCAAGTGGGGATGGGATATATTTCTTCACCTTTCCTCTGGCTTGAGTTGGGTGGTAGCTCTGCATCTCTCCCCTGAGTGTTGTTGGGGTATAATTCTTTACTGTTGGTCTGCTTGAAGTTGGGGTGTAGTGACTCAATACTCCACTAGGTGTGGTTGTGGTGTTTTCCTTCACACTTCCTGTGCCTGCTGCTGTTGGGCTGTAGTTATTCTTGAGTATTGTTGGAGTGATGTTGGCTATTCTTCTGGGAGTAATAGGGGTGTTCTCCATTGTTATGCCAGGGGTTGCTTCATCTTTGCCCACTGTGGCTTTGGGCACCAGTGTCTCACCCTCCATTTCAGAGCGAGCTCTTGGAGGGTCACTGCTCACCATCATCATCTCATTGTTGGGGAGATCCCGGCTGTCCAGTTTTATAGGGTGTTGGGAAGAGACTGCTCCCCACAGTGAGGGGAGGCCCCGGAGGCTCTTCAGGTGCTGGTAGGTGGAACCAATGATCAACATTGCCAATAGGAAGAGGAGGCGACTCCAATGAAGCCGCTTTTGCCAGAGCAACCGCCTTTCCCGCACCCCCATCCTGATCAATTTCCCCATGATGGCCAATTATGCCTGGTTACAGAAACCCTCTCATTCTGTCCATGGAAATATGGGGGTTGTTCTGGGATTCAGGTTGGTGATCAGTGACAATTTCTGCATGAAGCCCAGCCAGGGGTATCCACAAACCTAGGGGAAAAAAAGAGGTCATTTGCCCCTAAGAGGAGAGCTGGGATCCACCAAACCCTCGGTGGAAAAGAGTGACAATTCACACAGAGCCTTTGTGGTGGGAGGTAGTTATTTCTGGAACAAAACAACCCCTGCCCCCTGCTCCAGGGATCACTGTCTGCTCTTGGGAAAAAGAGCATCCAGTGGCCCTCTGCTGTGTAGGCATGCCAGTAGCCCAGCTCTGTGGAGTCCACCCAGCCCTCCCTGGGATCCCTACTAGAGGTCTGCCAGCACTCCTCAGGTCCAAACCTGAGTTGCTGGGAGCTCAGTTATCCATATTGGCACCCCAGGCCACAGATCTCACCTTATCAAAGGCAGGAGGGAAGTAAGGAGACATGATTTTAAGCTTTAGACAAAAAGAGGCAGCAATGGAAAGCAGTGCTAGGCACATCAAGTCTCCACATGTTTATTTTGGACTGACTTAAAATGATTCTACCATATCATCCAGAGAGGACAAAGCCTAAAAGTTAATGTCATGGAGCTTCCCAGACAGTATGGTGTGGTGGGAGGAAGATGGGGAATGCAGTCAATGGCCTGGATTCCCAGCTCTGCTGCTTATCAGCTATACCACCCTAGACAGGCTGAGCCTCGTTTCCTCATCTGTGAAATGGGCATGATAACATATGTGCTGATTATGCAAAGATGATCTCTGGAAAGACATCTGAAGAAGGGAAACTGAGGGTCAGGGTCAGAGGGAGACTTACTTTTCAGTATGGCCTAATGTTCAGTTTAACTTTAACCTTTTTATCAGGTGCATGTTATGATATTTTAAATCTAAATTAAACTTAGTTTAATAGAAATATCAATAGTAATAACAATACCAATCTATGTCATGGGAATGCTGGGAAAGTAAAAACACATAAGGTCTGTGAAAAGCATTGTACATAATCAATCAATCAAAAAGCATTGTACACAATCAATGCTACATAAGGGTTAATTTTACATAAGGACGCAGGAGGGAAGAACACACAGGCCCTCAAAGAATCCTCAATTTACAAAAAAGGAGATAGAGGCCCAACCCAAGTAAATATTTATTAAATCTCTAATCAGTGTCCACAGATTATTGTAAAACAATAACTAGAAATGATCGGTTTTGCATATGAAGTAATATATTAGAAGTAAGCTCAACAACCCATAGATTCTTAGGTTGTTAAAGGCAGAAGGAATTACACTGTTTAGTGCAGCTCCCCATTTTACACATGAAGAAACTGAGGTCCACAGAAGTGATTTGCTCAATGTCACACAGCTAGTGAGTATCAGTGCAGATGAGGTTTGTCACACCCTAGTCTTTCCAGTACACCACACTAATTAGAGATGCAAATGCAATTGTCTTAAAAAGCAAAAAAGGGACACGCAAAAAGAGAAGTATGGAATAAACAGATTTCCTTCTTTGTTCTTGTTTCCCATAATTGTCTTTCCACTGTCCACCTGCAGCCACCCTGTCCCTGGGCCATAAACTCAACACTTTGAATCTCCTAAAGAAACTTCAAAGGGTCTCTCTTTCTGGTGTGCCTGTGTTATGTAAGAGCTGAGCTGGCAGCCCAGCTGATCCCTCCTACCTAGTCACATCATTTACCTTTGAACCTGGACATCTGGGTGTCTTCTCAGCTCTGGAAACTTGTCAGAATCCAGGGTCTTGAAGAGTGGGTCTGAAGCTGAACAGCAGGGAACACCCCATTCTCCCACACCCAGCTCCCCTCTGGAATCCTAATTCAAGGCAGGGTCAGGTGTGAAGGGCATGTCAGGGGAAGAATATCCAATCCCTGCTAATACCCACCTCTAAGAAGCTTATTAGGGCATTGTACAAGTTCTGGGTCCCAGTGCCTCTGCCAGAGCCTGAGAGGGTGGACCTTGCACCAGGGACACAGATAGGTTCTCTGTGGCCCCCTGCAGTCAAGTGGAAATCTTGGGGAACTTCTCAAACATGTTTCTAAATTCAGGGAATGAGAGGTGTGGTCCAGGGTTTCCCAAGCTTAGGAAGAGGAAAGATTTGGAGAGATTCAGAAGGCGCTCTGTGGGAACGAAGAGAAAGTGCCTGGGGCTTAAAAGATCAGAAGATCTCAGTTAGCACCAGGCTTTGTTCGCCACTGTGTGACTCTAAATGTAACTTAAATGTAAATGTGGAGATAGTAACTGTCCTACCTATTGTAGGATGGATGTGAGAATCAAAATTAAAAATGAGGAACAGCTGCTCAATATTGCTGTGAATCTAAAACTGCTCTAAGAAATAAAGTCTATTTAAGAAAATGAGGGGGGCTGGCCCCGTGGCCGAGTGGTTACATTCACGGGCTCCTCTTCAGCGGCCCAGGGTTTCGCTGGTTCGGATCCTGGGAACGGACATGGCACCGCTCATTAGGCCATGCTGAGGCAGCGTCCCACATGCCACAACTAGAAGGACCCACAACTAAAAATATACAACTATGTACCAGGGAGTTTTGGGGAGAAAAAGGAAAAAAAAAAATCTTGAAAACAAAATAGAAAAGAAAATGAGGGAATGTGGGAAAAATATCAACTTTAAAGTATTTCACACATGAAAAATACTTTATTAGGCCTAAGGGAAATCCCTGAGAGAGAGGGCACTGACACAACTCCTCAGCGCAGGCTGGGACATCCCAAGATTCCTGAGGAGTTAGCTGATGGAAGTGGGAGTAGAGTGAGGCAATGGGGGTCTTATGATCCTACCCATTGACCTGGAAACCATCTCACTCCTTCAGCTAACACTGCCTGATACTCACTGATTGCTCCTTTCTCCCCTCCCTGTTGCCCCCAAGGTACAGGGATAGCATGCTGCTTTGATTACTTTCATCTGAAATGCAGGCAATCCTTCAAGGCCTCACCCCTGCCCTAACTTACCCTGAGTGGCCCCTAACAGTAAGAAGGTACCCAGCTTCCTCTGCTGAAGCACACAGTGGTGCCCCCCCGAAGAACCACCTTCATCTCTGGGTGTCCTGGGGTCACTCCGGACATTGGAAGCCTGGGTAGAGGGTCTGACCTCTGTTAGTTACCACAGCCTTGCCTGTAGACTGCTGTAGGCAGAATCAGATCTAGCTACTTCCCTTCTCACACCAACTATCTAACACAGTCTCAATCTTGGCTAGGATGGAAAGATGGAAAAAGGAACCAAATTCATGAGGTGGAATGATGAGTGATCCTTTCTTTTTTTCCCAGAATAATCTCACTATCTTTGAATGTTATTTGTGCAATATAGAAAATTCAGGAGAGAAGCAAATCCCAGAAAAGAGATTCCTTTCTCTCATATACTCATAACTGTCTCCAAGTTCTTTCTAGTGTCTAACCTATATCTGAACTGCTGGGGGTGAAACTGGTTCATTGTCTTGTTCTCATGGGGTTGTGGCACATTTTGAAATTCAACAGGCCATAGAAAAGTCTGCTGCTCAGCCAAGAGTGGAAGCACCATCTGTACTAGCAGTGTGAGTTTGGGGAAGTTATTTAACTTCTCAGTGGCTATAAACCTCTTGTCCTGTAAATTGAGGGTGATAATGACACTATCCGCTTGGTAAGTTTGTTGTGAGGATTAAGTAAATTAATATGTCAGACATATTAACAATGTCTGGTGCTTATTGTTGTTGCTATTATTATTATTATTATTCTGCTTTTGGAGATCGTAGTCAGACAGTGCTGGGGGGCAGCAAGTCCCCATGCATTCCACTGTGACAATGCTCTACTGTATATTTATTAATGTGATCACCTGATTAATGTCTACATCCCTTACTAGCAAATAAGCTTCAAGAGGACAGGTAACTTGACTATTTTACTCACGGGGGAATCCCCAGAGCCCAGAACAGTGTCTGGCACCCAATATATATGTTTGTTGATGGGCTGAAGAAGTACGTCCCAGTGAGGAGATGCTCAGAGATGGGGCACCTGAGCTACACATGGTGGGTGGGGGAAGGGATGCCCACTCACAGAGTCTCATGGCCTTTCAGAGGGCAAACTACTGGAGAAAAACCAGCACCACTGAGGGGAAGCTGATCTGATTTGTTCCACAAGGTGGCCTGGTATTATACTCTCCCTGAAACGGGGTGGACGGGCAGGTGAGGCAGATCTGCCTCTGTCCCTCACAATAATAGTGGGGGTTGAAGAAGGCAGGGCTTAGAGGCTGGGCAGGAGAGCTGGGAGGCCTTTCCTTACACTTCGCAGCTCAAGGCCTTTCCCATGGTTCTATTGGAACAGAAGGAAGAGGGAATGAGACTTTTTGCAAGACTTGGGTTTGTAGTCGAGGCTGGTTTATTTCTGGGCCTACCTCAGGAGTTGATATGGACCCCATAGTGGCCCAGTGGAAAGCAGACAAGATCTGGCAGGGGTTGCAAAATCAAATACCTTCAGAGCCTGTGTGTAGATAAAATGAAGTTAAATCAGCTCTATTCAAAGTCAGTGGAGAGTAATGAGGGCTGCATCTGGACAGAGAATGCATGACCCGTCAGTAGGCATTCCAATGTAAAACAGTTTTAAAATATTAAAGGGTAAACAAAATGGGGCTGAATTTGACCTACAGGTACTACTTTGCAACATCTAATAAAGTAACAAACCTGAACAAGAGCGAGACTCCTAACGTCTCTCATCTTCAAGTTCCTCATCTATAAAACTAGGAACGAAGAGCTTCCCTGTGGGGTTGCTGTAAGAGGTACAGTGAGAACCTGTGGAAAAGCACTTGTATCTGTCAGATGCTGAACTGCCCAAGGTCACAGCCTAAGACATTTTGTTTATATTATATATATTGTTGATAGGATTAAAAAAATGGCTGTACACCATCCCACTACTGGGTATTTATCCAAAGAGCTTGAAGTCAGCAATCCCAAAAGTCCTATGCACCCCAATGTTCATTGCAGCATTATTTACAATAGCCAAGACATGGAAGAAACCTAAGTGCCCATCAACAGATGAATGGATAAAGAAGATGTGGTATATATATACAATGGAATACTACTCAGCTGCAAAACAGAACAAAATCATTCCATTTGCAATAACATAGATGGACCTTGAGGGAATTATGTTAAGTGAAATAAGCCAGCAAGAGAAGGATAATCTGTGTATGACTCCACTCATATGAGGAATTTAAAAATGTGGACTAAGAGAACAGTTTAGTGGATACCAGGGGAAAGGTGGGGTGGGGGGTGGGCACAAAGGGTGAAGTGGTGCACCTACAACATGAATGACAAACATTAATGTACAACTGAAATTTCACAAGACTGTAAGCTATCATTAACCCAAAAAAAAAAAAAAAAAAAAGGCTGTACAGTTGTCACTGGTGCCAATGAGCAAAATAAACTCCAAAACATTCCACGACACTTCATCTCTCCTAGTCAGTGGCTGGAGCCATACCTGAGGCAGGGAGCTGCAGAGCGTGACGCTTCAGGTTGGCAGCAGTTCACAGACAGGGTTTTGGCCTCACAGTCAGGTACCCATCCCGAGGGGTCCAGAGTTTAGAGGAGAGGTCAGACAGGTGCTATCAGAGGACTTCAGTGTGGGCTCGTAGGAATCCACACAGTACCAGTACTATTAACCACTTCCCCCTAAGTAAGTGAGAAACAGCCCACTAAAACTCATCACATCAAATCTGATTTTACAAAGGAATACCAAGCGAAGCAATAGTGAGTTTTGTTGTTTTTTTTTTTTTGCTTATCAGTTGACAAAGACTAAAAAATGTAATATCTAGTGCTGGCGAAGATACTGGTGAGAGACTATAAATCTGATACAACAGCACAAATGACATTGTTAAACTGTAAGTCAGATCACGTCCCTTCTATACTCCAAATTTTCCAGTGGCTTCTCACCTCAGTCAGAGGAAAAGCCCCTATAATGGTCTGCAAGGCCCATTCCAGCATTGCTGGTAAGAGGAAAAACTGAAATCTATCTAAATGTCAATGGAAAACTGGTTACATAAATGATGTCACATCTTTCCAGTAGTCAATTATATACCAGTTCAAAGGAATGAAGATGATGTCCAACATATATTAATCAATTAATAATAATAAAAGCAAGATGCAGAACAGTATATATGACATTATGCATTTAGTTAAAAAGTATTATATATCTAACACTACTATGCATGTGTGTATATTTACGTATATAAATACACATGTACACACACATCGGTAGAGACAATTTTGCAAAGAATATATAAGAATGGCTAGATTTGTTACCAGTAGATATAGAATGAACAAAATCAAACAAAAAATCCCTGGTACTTCATCTTTCAAGGCCAGTGGTTGGAATCATACTTGAGGCAAGGAGATACATATGGTTACTTCTAGGAAGGGAAACACTTATTTTTCACTTTGTATATTTTATAACTTTAAATTTTTTCCCATTGAAATGAATTACTTTTATAATTTTTTTAAACTACTTTTGTTTTGTGTTGCTTTATGTACTTTTTCATAGAAAGATGCTACCAAAGTTTTAAGAGGACGAGATGTGAGCCCAGCAAGACAGACGCAGGACTGGATCACGAGAAGTCTTTAAAAATTTAGGGTTTATTGGGGGCTTGCCCCGTGGCCAAGTGGTTAAGTTTGCACGCTCCGCTGCAGGCGGCCCAGTGTTTCTTTGGCTCGAGTCCCGGGCGCGGACATGGCACTGCTCATCAAACCATGCTGAGGCAGCGTCCCACATACCACAACTAGAAGGACCCACAACGAAGAATATACAACTACGTATGGGGGGGCTTTGGGAGAAAAAGGAAAAAAATAAAATCTTTAAAAGAAAATTTAGAGTTTATCAGTATGAAGATTTCTCAAAAAATTAAAAATAGAAATCCCATATGACCTAGCCATCCCACTACTGGGTATCTATCCAAAGAACTTGAAATCAGAAATTCAAAGAGACCCATGTACCCCTATGTTTGTTGCAGCATTATTCACAATAGCCAAGACGTAGAAGCAACCTAAGTGCCCACCGACTGATGACTGGATAAAGAAGATATGGTATTTATATATACAATGGAATACTACTCAGCCACAAAAAAGAGGATAAAATTGTCCCATTCACAACAACATGGATGGACCTTGAGGGCATTATGTTAAGCGAAATAAGCCAGATAGAGAAAGACAAACTCTGTATGACTCCACTAATATGTGGAAGATAAACACATGGACAAAGAGAACAGATTAGTGGTTACCAGGGGAAAGGGTACTACTGAAAATACAACTGAAATTTCACAAGGTTGTAAACTATCATAACCTCAATTAAAAAACAAACAAAAGAAAA